TGCTTTCTCAGACAATTAGGAATAGTACTACCTCAAGATCCAGCTATGCCATGCCTGAGCATATACCCAAAAGATGTCCCTCTATTCAGGAAGGACATTTGTTTAACTATGTTCATAGCAGCTTTATTTTTAATAGCCAGAATCTGGAAACAACTTAGATGTCCCTCAACTGAGGAATGGATACAGAAAGTGTGGTACATTTACATGATGGAATATTACTCAGCAATTAAAAACAAAGAAATCATGAAATTTGCAGGCGAATTATGGGAACTATAAAAGATCATCCTGAGTTAGGTAACCCTGAAGCAGAAAGACACACATGGTATATACTCACTTATAAATGGATGTTAGCCATATAATATAGGATAAACATACTAAAATCTATCTATAGTCCTAAAGAAGCAAACCAACAAGGAGGGCCCTAGGAAAGAGGCTGAAACCTCACTCAGAAGGGCAACAGGATAGGCATCAGAAATAGGAGAAGACAAGGAACAGGACAGGAGCCTTCCACATGAGGACCTCTGAAAGACTTTACCCACCAGGGTATCAAAGGAGACACTGAGACTCATAGCCAAACTTTGGGAAGAGTGCCAGAATCTTTATGGAAGAAGAGGGAAATAGAAAAACCTAGAAAGGACAGGAACTCCACAAGGAGACCAACAGAGCCAAAAAACCTGGGCCCAGCGGGGCCTGCAAAGACCAATACTCCAACCAAGGACTATGCATGGAGAGGACCTAGACCCCCGCCTCAGAAAAGGCCCATAGGATTCTCAGTTTCCAAGTGGGTTTCCTAGTAAGGGGATCAGGGCTGTCTCTGACATGAACTCAGCGGCTGACTCTGTTCACCTACCCCTGGGGGGTGGTACAGCCTTGCCAGGCCACAGAGGAAGATGATGTAGCCAGCCTTGATGAAACCTAATAGGCCAGGGTCAGACAGAAGGGGAGGAGGTCCTCCCCTTCAGGGAACTAAGGAAAGGGCATAGGAGGAGAAGAGGGAGGGTGGGTGGGGACAGTGGGTGGGACTGGGAGGAGGGAGGGTGCTACAGCCTGGATACAAGGTGAATAAATTATAATAAATAAATTATATTTTTAAAAAAGAAAGACATTCCCTTATACCTAAAACAGCAGAATATATTACTTTTTAAGATCTATTTTTCTATGGCTTTTGCGGGGGGGGGGGGGAGAGTGACTCAATAGTCAATATTCAGTTTTGTATTCTTATTTGTAGGAGGTGTGGGGATATATGTATACGCATGTGTATGCAGGTGTTTGTAGAAGCCAGTCAATGACATCACACAGAGCTGGAGTTAAAGGCAAGTTCCAAATCCTCTGACACAGCTGATCCTCCAACCGAACTCTTGTAAGCACAGCAATGGCTGAGTCATCTCTCCAGCCCCAAAGATAAAACCAGTCCCTGAGCCAGTGGTTCCCACAGCTGGCTACATGGTGGAGCCACCCTGAAGAGTGTTGCGAACTGGCCAGTCTTGGCTTCTGCCCAGAACCGTCCTTATGGAATTGGTCTGGAATAAAGCCTGGAGCTCAAAAGATTTTCCATCTTCTCAGATTCTTTCAATGGGCATTGATGTCTGAGACCCAACTCCTTTAACTGTCCATATCACATCCATTTGTGTCCACTTCAACTAAGAAAACAGGTTGCAGAATAATGAAATTTTAATTAATGGCATGTGACTAACAGAGAAACCGTTCTGAATTACAAACAATGAACTTTAAGCACTTTAACACTTTTTTCTGTTGTAAGCTACTCTATTACCAACACCAACAGACTCACATGGATAAGAGAAACTGCTCTAGCTTGAAGCACAGTGAAAGATTACTATAGATAGGCCCTCCACTGAGTGACCTTACAGAGGAAACTCAGAGGTGGGACCATCACCATTCCGCACACTGGATAAATTCTGCCCACAATCTATTTAAGTAGAATTGATACTTAACCTCTGGAGCACACTGACAGATACCTCTTTTATCACACCGAGTAAAAGGTGGTGATCAATTTTTTTTTCCTGTTACAGAATTCTTCCTCTTGGGCTGTTTATCTTTCTGTCATTTTACGACACCATAACAAAAGGACTCTGATAAACATGGCGGGAGTGGGAATGGGTGTGGCTGATATTTGCATATGCCATCGATTCTAAGAATTGGGTCAATTTCATTTGAAAATGTAAGTAAGCCAATGCCTGGTGATCATCATTACTTTAAATGCACGGCAAACAAACCAGACTTTCCCCGTTAGGTATCACGTATGCTGTGTAAATGCCCAGTCCATCTCTTTAATAAATACCTCCTATGTATTCTCTATGTAGCTAAAATATACTGCCCGTAGGAGGGGTTCATTCTGGCTTTTTATTTTTTCCTCCATTTGTATCTTTACCTAAATAGAGACACAAATAGCTATTTTTGACAGAGAGAAAAGTAAACCTTATTTTGGATTCATCTATGTTACTTTATAGTAAAAAAAAATTTAAGCTTCACTTACATATTTCAGAACATATATTTAAATAATATTGTTGGGCCTATGGTGGAAATGATGCATGCTAAGAACGATTTGTGAGGTAATGACAGTGTCTGCCTACTGCCGATTTAATTTCACCTTGCTCTTTAAAAGTCATTACATCCTCTGACATAATCTGATTGGCCTGCTCTTTGATCACCTCCCCCTAAGGGGGGGGAGCAGCCTTACCAGGCCACAGAAGATGACAATGCAGCCACTCCTGATGAGATCTGATAGGCTAAGATCAGAAGGAAGGAGAGGGGGACCTCCCCTATCAGTGGACTTGGGGAGGAGCATGCGTGAAGAAGGGGGAGGGGAGGTGGGATTGGGAGGGGAGGAGGGAGGGTTATAGGGGATACAAAGTGAATAAAGTGTAATTAATAAAAGTAAAAGAAAAAAAAAGTCATTACATGTCACTTACTTACACCCAGATGGTTGTAAGTATTTGGTTGTAGGAAGTCTCTGTGCTCACAGATAAGGGGAAGCTGGAATGTTAAACACATAGAGTCGTTCCTTCAAAGGAAGTGGTGCATGGCCTGTTCTCCATCCAGAAGGATGAGAGGAGGTGTGATTAATAGCCTGCTGACCTCTGCACTACCTGTGTGGCCAAGACCGCATCGATCCTCCCCTTATCATGAGCTTGTTTTCCTCAGTCGATCTATAGAACCTGTCTTTACAGAAGTTGTCACATGCACTCAATCTATAGAACCCATCTTTCCGGACAACGTCACCCGGACTTTAGGAAGAGTTTCGATGCAGTCACATCCAATCTTTACTTAGCTTGCTTTGTTCCTCGAGGAGATTTGTGTGTGCTTTGTTGTACGTAAGGAATCAGGTTAACTATCACCAGGAAAGCTTTCACCAATTTGTGCTGTACTTAAATGCACCTAAAATAAACTACTCAGAGTCAGACTCCGGAAGTTTGAATCAACACCGGCTATTTAGTCATGTTGACCAAACTGTTTTCTTGCCTCCCACAGACTGTTACTCTGCTGGCCACGGTGGTTAGAGAGCCCCACATTTAGCGTTATTACAAAAACACAGGTATACTGGAAGATATATGAAATATTCATGTGTAATATAGGAAATAATTACTAAGCCAGTATCTACCCACCCAAAGCCCAGTGGAGACTCTTTGCATCCTAAAGTAGAGTTCCCACTTGTCCTTCTTGACTCCATCTCCCTCTCTCCCTCCGCCACAGATTCACTAGTCAAATTTTTTGAAGTAGTCTTTTTAAAATTTATTTAATTAAAAGTTCAGTTACCTAGGTTGGCATCTCACAGCAATGAAGTTTAGTTTTGCTGTTTCTTAATGCTCTACGGCAGAATGCCACTCTAGACATTTTGAATTTCAGTTCTTTTGCTTAGTGTTCTATACTCTCATAGACTGACAACCTCAAAGGCGGCCTGAGTTATGCTCACTTCGTGGCATATGTGGTTGTTGTGCTTTGACTATTCGGAGCATCCACCAAATGGTATGGGTTAACCACTGGGTGTTGTAACACAGAGCACCAACATTAGGAGGTGTTGTGAACCCTCAAGAGGAGGATCAGCAGGAGAGGTTTATAGCTTACGGAGGCAGGCCCTCCACTGGGATTTGTCGTAGTATTTCTGTTGCTGTGATGAACACCAAACCAAAAGCACTCTGGGAGAGAAAAGGTTTGTTTGAGCTCTAAGAAAGGAAGGGCTGCAGTCCTGCTTGCATTCTAGAAGCTCCCTGCCAAACGATGTCAACTGGGTCGGCACTTACGGAAGGCACACACCATTTCCACTCCCAGGCTCTTCTGGAGGGCCTTTTCTTGTTAATGTTTCCTGCAAACGTTCCCGTTTAAGTTTCCGCTTTTACTAAACACAGCAAAGCAGCACACACTTCTTGCAGCCCCTTGAACTCAGCCTGCTTCAGCACAGTACGCGCTGATATCTCCTTTAGGGCGTGCAGGAGCGCCGAGGTCCGAACTCTCCTGCCTAAAGCCTGCTCTTTGTAGAAGGCTGTCTGCAGGAAGGATCCCAGGTTCTGGCTCTAAACATCCATATTTAGGCTTCCAAATGAAGGTTTCTGCAGGCAAAAAGCTGGCTGTGGCATGTGGTCTTTTTTTTTTGTTTTTGTTTTTTGTTTTTAGAGATGGACTACAGAAAAGCTGATAGGTGACAACAGAAAGGGAAAAGAAGACAAAATGCCTTTGTATTTATTTGGCCACATAAATCTATGTTTATTTAAGGTGTAGGAATAACTCCGTTTTGGAAATGGGGCAGATAACAAGTATTTTCATGAGGGTCACATAATAGTTTCAAGGAATCTAAAGGTAATTCAGAGTTGTGTTCATATAGGAGAGAAAGAGTAACAAGAGTAACTGATAGGATATACTGTAGGCAAAACCAGCAAACTAACTGGAATTGAGGGTTTACATCTGGCATCTTAGGATTCAGCTCACAGGTGGTCTACAGAGGGGTTGTTGGTTAGTGAAGAACAGGAGACTGTGGGTGAGAGCCCTCAGCAACAAGAACAACTAGAGCATGCTGGGCGACAGCAGGTGGTCTGGCAACAGGTGGGCCTGCAGCAGCTGGACCCACAACAACTGGAACCACCAGAACACGGGCGGCAGCAGCTGGACACACAGCAGCTAGGACGGCAACAACTGGAGATGCAGCAGCTGGGGCGGCAGCAGGTGGGCTGGCAGCACACAGACTGGCAGCACTGGGGCCTGCAGCAGCTGGACACACAGCAGCTGGGCTGGCAGCAGGTGGGACGGCAGCAGCTAGAAATGCAGCAGGAAGGGCGGCAGCAACTAGAGATGCAGCAGCTCGGGCGGCAGCAGCTGGGCTGGCAGCACACAGACTGACAACAGCTGGGCCTGCAGCAGCTGGACACATAGCAGCTGGGCCTGCAGCAGCTGGATACACAGCAGCTGGGTCTGCAACAGCTGGACACACAGCAGGTGGGCCTGCAGCAGCTGGATACACAGCAGCTGGGCCTACAGCAGCTGGATACACAGCAGCTGGGTCTGCAACAGCTGGACACACAGCAGGTGGGCCTGCAGCAGCTGGACACACAGCAGCTGGGCTGGCAGCAGCCTTGGCCACAGCCCTCCTCAGAGCAGACAGAACCACAACAGGAGCTGACCATGGTGTCAGAGGTGGAGGTTCTGGGTGGGTTTACAAGAAGGTAGTTGGAAAGTTTGACAGTGGGAGTCTCCCCGCCCACATCCCCTTTTATACCCTGCAGAGGGGCTGGTGTCCTCACGTACAGCATTCTTTCCTTGTTATTGTTTGTATTGATAAATATTACATGATTATAGAATTAGGCAAGATTGTTTTCCTGGTTACGTTCTCAGATTGTGTAGGAAACACAATCTCTCTTCCTGTTGTGTTAGAATTCACATCAGACTTCCTGAATTACCTTTCCAACTTAACATCATCAAAGGGCACTGTCATGTGACATTTTGCCTCTAGAATATACTACACATCAGTCTCCATTCACATGGCCTAGCCTGTCTATCCTGGTGGGACAATGATTCTTGTATTTACTTGTCCCTGATCACCCAGGGGAATAAGCTCATGGTGCAGTCTGATTGCTCCAGGTCAGATTGTCGAAAAACAAAAAAAAAAAAAAAAAAGTTTGAATGTGAAAAACACGGCACTGATTTATCTCCTGCCAGCTGTGATTCACGGTCCAGTGTTTAGACTTTCTCATGGGAAACGCAGCAGTATTTTCAGATACAATAGTTAAGACATGACATTTTGATATTTCCTTTTTTTGCTGAGCACAAATACCCCAAACTTATCCTTAGGGCATCTCAGGGGAAGTTGGCTTCACCACGAGATCCAGGCCCCTCCACTCGCTGCTGTGGAGCTGATTTTCACTACTAGGTATTGTCTTTCTGGCTTCAGTTGGCCACACTGTCACAGTTCCCATTTTTTTTTTAAGATACGCTTGCCTGCCCACCCACCATTGCTCACAGTGTGTGCTTGTCTGTTTCGCTAATGTGGATCCTGCCATGTTGGGTTGGTACTGTAAAAGGCCCCAATGCTCTTTTGCTTTATCGTCTGGGTTGTCAGTCAGCATTTACTCTCTAGTTCTATCTTCCATGAACAGGAGATGATAGGTACTGATTTCCAACACAGAGGACATCTGCCTTGGTGTCTTCACTCTGAAAACATAGTACATTCTTAAAGACTGAAAAATATGCCTAACTCAACTTGTAGCTGCTGACTCTTTGGAAGAAAACAAAACAAAACAACTCTGACTGCCTCTTACACTGTTCCATCTCTGGAGTCAAGGGGCCCTGAGGGAGGAGATCCTGGTTTTATGCCATGAACTTTCAGGTTCCTGCTGTCTTTCACTGTACAGCACTCTGGACAACAATGCCCCTGTTGGGCTGGTCTCTCTAAGAACACTCAAGTACATCTGCAGTCTGATTTCACTCTTCCCGTAAACTCTATTTTTCTGAATGTCTGGGGATTATGAATGTTAAGAAAGAGTAACTGTGCTGAATGGCAGAATCATTTCTCCAAATGCTTTGGTCATGAGAGAAAACACTAGTAGGAGTTTCAGATTATTTCAGAGGCAGTGTCAAATCCCCAAACAGACTAACTAGAACAAAACTAACTAACTAACTAACTAACTAACTAACTAACTAACTAACTAACTAACCAACCAACTAACTACGTTACTACCATGAAGGTGAACAATACTATGAGGACTGATTGCATCTAAACTTCTTGGAAGATGTTTTTTGTTTTTTTTAAATACCTATAGTCCCTGAGGTTGTACCCAACCTCATCAACATTTAGCTAGGCATAAAATTTAGATCAAATTAGCAAGTTATTCTTGGATGTAGGAGAAGAAATGGGTTGAAACTGGGCATAGTAGTGCATGCTTGTACTCTCACTTAGCAATTAGGCTGCTGAAAAGCTCTTCGGAGGCTAAAAGATATCTATGAGTTTGATATAACCTAGGCTGTATCATCATCAATGTGTGGCTAACATGAACGACATAGAAAAAAAAAGGAAGAAAAAATTTTGAGACCTATTGGTGTAGAGGTAACATTGTGCATTTCAAAGAGATTGGTGTGGTTTATAATAACAAATTCCTGGGTATTTCAGCACCATAGTGAGCGCAGTGTTAGCTCACACTGCCAAGCATTTGCAGACATTAAACCCTGAGACACTAAAGCTCCTGTGTGCAAACACTCGTGCATTCATGGAAGTGTGGGGTTGACTCTGCAAAATAAATAATTCCCCTCTTCTCTAAGCAGTCAGAACCCACCTGCAACACGAGCTTAATTCCAGAGACCAGAACCATGGAAATAAGTGTAGTATATGTAGACTAAAGTTAATGTGACAATGAGTAACTGGTGGGAAAACTTTGGAAACTGAGCCCCAAGAAACTAGAGTAAATCAATGGCATGTAGCATGAAATGCTCTGAATGAGGGACTTGCCCCAAATGACTGTGGGGTGTTGATACAGGGAGGGTAAGTGAGCATCTCAGAGAAAAACATGTGACTCACCCTGTGAGGTCAGCTAGTGGAATGGGTTGCCCTGCGTAGTCAGTGGAGGGTCTTCAAGTATGAGTTGGTGTTGTTGAGGAAGATTCAAGAACCAGGTAAAGATGCACTGACTTCAAGATTCCCTTTCTGCCCTCCAGCACTTAAGCTCGATGGAATCATGATGCTTTTACAAGGCTCCTTTGTGATTGGCCTATTTACATCCCAGTCTGGTCCTTATTGCTAGATTTATGTAGCCAGGGTAATATAGACCAGTGACGTGGGCTGGTGATTGGACCTCTTTAGGAGGCTTGTGTGGTGGCCTCAGCCTGTAGCCTATACTGCTCTAAAGAAAGTAGACACAGCTCTTAGGAAAGACTTGTACTTTTTCCTGTCATAGGAGAGAGCCAAAGAACTCCCAGCTAATGGGGCAAAGACCCTGGTGATCCCATTACAGGACCTGATGACTCAGAGCTACACATGGCTCACTGGAGATCAGAACTATCTGTAACATTTCCATTTGCCCCTGCCCAAATCTCAGCTTTCTACCTGAAATTTTCACTCGTGTTGCCAACCACCTACTCCTCTGCTCCCTAAACTTCTCATCATGTCCAGATCAGACCTTTCCCTCTTCATGACTATCTCTGTGTCTGTTTCCCACCTAGACAATTACTGGGGCATCCTCAGGCTCCCTGGCTTGTGATTGCTCCTTCTTTATAGGCCCGCAAAGTAGCTTCATCTCAAATAGTAAGCCCCACCCAGGACAATGACTGATGACTAGATGCTCTCTTCAGCTCTGGCCCACCATGCAGGAGGAATCACTGACCAAATCCCCACATTTAGATTTAAGATTGTTAGCACGAAGGGCTTATCCCAGGGTTAGGATGGCCAGGCACTCTCCTTAGGAGGTAAGGGGCTGATTGACTTTACTCTCTGTTGCTCTAATAAACTCCACAACCAAAAGCATCTTTGGGAGACAAGAGCTTGTTTTAGCTTACAGGTTGCAGCCCATCAGCAAAGGGAATGCTCAAGAAGAAACCACAGGAGAAATTACTCACTGGCTTCCTTCCAGGCTCAGATTCAGCTACCTTTCTTATATCTCCAAAGACCAACGCCATAGCAGTGGCCCAGCCCACAGTGGCTTCCCACATCAATCATCAATTAAGAACATGCCAAACAGACATGCCCAAAGCCCAATCCATTGGAGGCAATTCATCAGCTGAGGTTCTCTCTCCCACAGAGAGAGAGAGAAAGAGAGAAAGAGTTGTCAAGTTGACAGCCAAGGTTAACCCTCACACTGGCTTACTATGCAGCTGAGGCTTTGGCTCCCCTCCTTTCAGGAGCTGGGTACAGGTTCAGCACTTTTCTCTGTATAGCATTTCTGTTTCTCCAGCCAAATGCCAGATTCAGAAAGATAGATACCATGTGTTTTCTATCATATATAGAGTCTAATGTTTGGACTGTATATAGCTCAGTGGTAGAGTACTTGCTTGGCATATACAGAATTTAGAATACAGATTTATGTGTCTTATACTTACATATGTGTTTATACACACACACACACACACACACACACACACACCATGAATGCATAAGGAGGGCTATCTGTGTAGAGGAAAATGACCACTGCAGGAGTGGGTGGGATGTGAAATGGTAATGCAGGGTTAATGTGGTTGACATATAATAAATGTAAATGGATAACATTTTTAAAATAAAGAATGAAACCCCACAATGTTTTATATTTGTAGATATTTTTCTGTATATGACATAACTTATTTTTGGTTGAATAATATCCAATGTATATGTGCCATAACTTCCTTATTCATTCATCCGTCGAAAGGCATCTAGGTTGATTCTATTATATTGGCCAATGAGAATAGCACCACAATAATTATGCATATGTAGATAAATCATTTGCATACTGATTCAGTTGGTTTTTGTTTGTTTGTTTGTTTGTTTGTTTTCAGATAAGTCCTGGAGTAATAAAACAGGATTGTATGGTTTGCCGTATTTGGTTTTTGGTAAATCTTCTACACTGATTTCCATAATGGCGCCACTCATTTACCTACTCAGCTGTGGTGAAAGGCCCTCCCTTCCCTTATCCTCAGCAGCATTTGTTGCTTCTTTTCCTCATGGTAGCCGTTCTGACCGGGGTGAGGAATTTCATCCTAGTTTTGATTTGCATTTCCCTGATGGAGAAATATATTTTGTATTTTAAATGGTACATATTAGTCAGCCATTTGTACTTCTTTTAAGATGTGTCTGTTCAGTTCATTTGTCCATTTCTGATTGGACCATTTATTCTTTCAATGGTATACTTTTTTAGCTGATTATGTAATCTGGATATCAGTCCTTTCTCAAATGAAAGACTCTCCTTTTCTGTGAGACTAAATTCTAGTTTGAATAAAAATTGTATTTCCAAAAGCCAATTTAAGTTTTCAAGCCTAAGCCCATTCCCCAACTGGTGATGTATCCTTCTGTGTAAGAAAGAGACAGAAATGTGGACAGACAAAAAGCTGATATACAAATAGTCAATAAACATATGGGAAAAAAAAGTTACATGGAGATTCTACACTCTAGCCATAATGACTGGCAGAGAGAAAACAAACAAAAATGTTGAAGGAAGGTACAGCTCAGTGGTAGAATGCCAGCCTAGTATGCACAAGGCCCAGGTGTGATCCTTTGAACATACACACACACAAAAAAAAAAAAAAGAAGAAGAAGAAGAAGAAAGAAAGGAGGAAAGGGAAGAAGAAGGAAGGAAAGGAAGAAAGGGAGGAAGAAAGACTGGAAAGTGGACAAAAGGAAAAAAGTACACTAACAATAAGTGCTGGTGAAAATATGGAGAAAGGCAAGCCTTAGACACTGCGGGTGGACAATGTAGATTGGTCCAGCCCCTATGGAAATCAGCATGGAGATGCCTCAAGGACTAAAAGCAGACCAGCACGTGACTTCGCTACTAAAAGCAGACCAGCACGTGACT